TTAGCTAACAACTAATATTTGCTTTTATCTTTTGGAGCAAACAAACCAACCACTGGTGAGGAGAATTAAACTTTTATTTCTACCTGAGGTTTGAGAGGGGGCAGAAGCGGCGGCCTTTTATGCTTTTCAGAGGCCTCTCTACTCCCATGCCTCGCACTAGTTACATGTGCTACATTTGTATTATAGATAGTTCTAGAATGATATAGGGGCTTGGGCTGTGTAAGCTTAATAATGGACTTAGGACATGACTCAGTAATAAGTAATTCATTTCTTTGTCTTTTGGGCCGATCTTAGCGGGATCTTGTAGCGCTGAAGCTATGCTCTACACCGCCTTAATTACGAACGGTTATCTTTAGAAATGACTCGGCTATAAAGGAACTTTCTAGACCGTTCTCTAATTGACCCCTTTTGTGAAGCCGCATCATTACTAATGTTCTAGAGCCTTCCCAATCCATTAACTGATCCGCGGACTTCTGAATCACTTTATGCTTATGATCCGAGATCCAGATCATCAATCATTCCTTTGTTCTGATTTATTTGAGCTTAAAATCAAAAAGTTTTGATGAATCATGGGAAAATATACAAGATCCGGTTTTTTAGCATTTTCTCCTCTTCTGATGCGATCAAAAACTGTCCGCCCGCGCCGGGGAATACTCTATCATATGGTATTCGGTCCGCCAGACTTCCGGGCGCCAATATATTTCCCTTGAGTCACATTACTTTTTGTAAGAATTAGCAAATAAATATATATGAATTATAAGGTGTTTCGCCGTTTGAGCAATATCTCCGTCAGTTTTGAAGCTTTTAGAATGAAACAAAACCGTGGATAAAGTTAAGAAACAGTCCTTTCAGATGGTAAAAAGATTACAGTCAAAGGTTTACTGGTTCCCGAGATATTCACATTTCTTTCCCAATGTTCCTTCTTATTCTGCTGTCTATGTGCTATTTTCTTGTTGTAGGGATATATTCTTTGAATATTACACCTATGCCAGGTTCTAGGCATGCTTGTAGTAGATTAAATCTCATGCTACATGGGTGTAGATAATTTATAATGATCTTCTAATGTCTGTCCAGTCCCATAAAGATCATGAGATCTGTTAAATGTCTGAACTTGTCACCTGTTCATTGACTATTCTGATAGATCATTGTTTTATTCTTTGAATATTATTTCTCCTACACCGGTAAGGTTGGAGGGTGTGGGGCTTAGGTGCTCAGATGCTCAGGATGTGTGGCCCATAACGTCAATCACTCAATGGAGTATCTGTCAGGGCACAGCCCCTGACCCCACACACCCTCAGGTACCCTCCCCCCATTTTCTCCTATTTTTCCCTTCACTGTTCCACAATCCCGCATGCATGCAGACCTGTGGGAACGTTCTGGGCGAGTTACTCGCCCAGAAACCATCACAGCCACAACCGTGGGAACTTTCTGGGTGAGCAGCTTGCCCAGAATCTTCCCACGGGGGGTGCCAATTATGGAAAGTCGGCAAAGAGCCGAAAACTGTATAGTTCCCGACTCCCATTTGTAGCGGCTTCACAGGAGGTTGAGAAGGTTACCCTTCTTCTCAACTCATTTCCTGTGAAGGCAAGTGTAACTACCTTCTCCCTAAATGTGCAGCAACTCATTTCCTGTGAAGGCTGGGGCTAGCCCCCTCAGTGAGTTCGAAGATCTTGGACTGGGACTAGATACCCCAGCGACTAGGAGGACCCCCCTGGGCCCATCGCGGAACGAGGGCCAGGCCCTGACAGTATCATGACTAGAGTCCGTGATCCTAGCGGTAGAGTGGTGAAGTCCAGCAAAGCGGAGTAGAGTTGAAGTGAAGTGTTTGGGGTTGGACTGGGTGTGCTGTTATCTAGACACGGTATGTTCAAGAACCATTGCTCAATGGAGCCTCAGGGGGAACAACCTTGTCATAGACAAGTGGGATCGCGGCCCATCCAACAAAGTTGATGATAAAGCATCGGCAAGATAGGCGAAGGTGGGTAGTCAACCAGTGGTGTGGTGGCCGAAGGTGACAGGGAAACTAAGGGTGGAAGTGGCACGAAGGCACACTATCCCGGGATGGTATACCTAGCATTACTAATGGAATGCCTGGTGGTCAAAGTGCATATGCTGTAAGGGGGCAAGGGATCCACCACCCTAACGAGAAAGAGAGGGGGCCACAGAGTTGGGAGTGCTCAGGGGAGGTTCGGATGAAGAGGAAGGGGGGGGGGAGAAATGGTCTGGGTGCGATGTGATAAGGAAAAAAGATAAACTTGTAAATCTCACTGATAATCAAACTAATGGGGAACTCTGCCCCTGTACTATGTCTTGAGCCTCTTTGGCTTCGTATTCGCCGCTCTGGGCGCTGGTAATGTCTGCTAGAACTTCATGTTCATTTGGGGAGCACCTCTCTCTGTTGGGGGAGTCCTTTTTTGTAAATACAGGAAAGAGGGTAGCTATAAATATGAAAGAAATACGTGGAAATCCGAATGATCCGACGGTTTAGGATGGAAACAGATCCACAAGGAACACTTAAGAAAAAAGCAATATCAAAGAAATATTAACGTTGTTAAGGAAATAAAGAAACATGGCGATCGCCTCAACCGCTGAACCAAATACGTCACTCGTAACATCGTTCGACTCTTGTTGACAAGGGCTTTCCAACGATACCACATTCGTCCGGATCGGTGGAGAATTGATGGAGATACAGAGGAAGCGGTGGAATATGCGGGTGACAGTTACCCAATTTGGAAACTGATGGTTGTCCGTGGTCAGGAATGGCTTGAAAAATCAGAAAAAATATGGGAAACGTAGAAGGGGTATGTGGAATGGTGGTAGATGTGTTTCGGGAGTTGGCGTGGGTGGTAGAATTGCGATAATCGGCTTGTTTGCATGGTACCAGCTGTGCCCACCTACAATGCGGCAAATCGGCTTGAATGCCAACCAATGGGAGTACTGCCCAAAGGTGGCCAGGGGTGCATGGGGTTACTAAACTGGAATACTCGGACATTCAGACTGATTTACTTGCTCAAAATCCCGGTTGCTCAATGGAGCGAGGTGGGTGAGTGTAGTTGGTGTCCCAGAAATGGTAGGGTAAGGTCCATATAGCGAGGTGACATTGAAATGTCCAAATTGATTGCACCGGTAGCATAGCGGGTTTGATACTTGTTGCGGGCCTGGATACCGGTGTGCTGGTAGTACCTCTACAACAGTTGAAGTGATAATCGGCGATGAGCCAGATCATTGGGGGGTGACAAAATCCTCGGAGGTGAGGAGATGGCAACCAAAAAATCGGCAAGAGGACAGAGTCCTCAGACGGAGTGGATGGTGTTCCCAAAAAAGGAAACAAATGTCCCAGAAGAACAGAAACAGAAAACAGCGAGACATTGAGAACGAGCGACATGTTTCAAAATGGAAGTAGACCATTGAAGAGAAACAGAGATGGAAAGCCAAAATCGGCGAAAATATCGGCGAAATGCTGGTGAATGAAGTATCAGCGAAGTTTAACAACTTATTGGAGAAGTCATATTTTTATTTGAAAATCTTAGGAACAAGAAAAACAAAGATTGGACGGGAGACAGGAGTCCCGGAAATGGAAAACAACCTAGAGCTGGGGCATGTCCCCTTGAACGGGAAATCAACCGTAGTCAAACCAAAAAAGGAAACAGAAAGAGAAAATGGAAATGGAGCAGACTATTTGTTTTGTCTCAGGAGAGATGCCCGGTTTGATTTCCGGAGGTGCGGCCTTGGTTGCTCAGGCCAAAGGTGCACTAACAAGAGTCTTTGGCAATCTGTAGCCGTTAAGGCCAGAAAAGCCGCAAACGAACGTGGGGTTGTGAAGTGGCGAGCTTCAACAACGGCGGGGGTGTAACGGCGATCTTTGGCAGTCTTTGGTCATCTAGGCCTGGACTTGCCGCAGATTAGGAGGTACTCTCCAAAAGTGTAATCCTGTGTCATGAAATCATGAGGAGTCATGACATTGTCAGGGGACGACTCCTGGGTCCCCATGACCCTCCCCTATGGTCCACAGCCCTAAGGTGTAACCAGCCCTATCCAGGGCACAACTACTGTGGGTAAGGAGATGAGAAGGAAGCTAACTTCTCATCTTCCCACAGTGGCCACAATATCAGCAAAACTTCCGGGGATACCCAGAAGTCACATGAAGGGGTAGGAACCGGGTCCGGAGCAAGCGGCACGTGGAGCGTGCGCACGTGCGGGAAGTGCAGCGGGTGGAAGCGGGTCTGGATGCGGGTCCGGGTCCGGGCTAGTCAGGGTGTGTGCCCTGACAGACATATCACAAAATTTCATGACCCCTCATGACATGTCATGACAATTGAATTGAATCAGACATTTTTTACATTCAAAAATTTGGATTTCATGACAGTCCGTGACAAATTGTCATGAACTGTCATGTGCTGACAAGGTTCATGAGTGGTCATGATATTCATGAATATTCATGAATGTTCATGAATGTTCATGACCCATCATGATGGGTCATGGAGTGTCATATGTTTATTTTGACCTTTCCTCATCATGTAAAATCCTATAATGTTCCATGATGTGTCATGGACATTCATGATGCTCCATGAACATGTATGATGGGTCATGAGCATGCATGAATATGCATGAGATGTCACAAGTGCTTATGAACTGTCATGTGACATCATGTGGCTGTGTTAAACTTTCGCGCTTGCTACCACCTCACACTCACACAACTATCACTGCACCCTACTGTGCTTTATTTGAGCATGAATATCTGTTATGGAAATGGGAATTTCAATTTTAGACTCTTATGGGTTCTGTATCACGTGATTTATATAGTAATACAGTTCAACAAATCAATAATCAACCAAAAACCCGAGAGTAATGTCTCTGTGAAAACATCTATAACAACACCTGCCATATCTATTGTAAAATCATATGAGCTCAACTTCTACCCTTTTCCACTTTCCTGTGCCAAGAACGGACGAAAATGGGCGTCTCCGGCCCCATTTTTGTAACAATATCAATCACCTCTCATGGCTCACCCTTTTGGTCAACAATCAGAGACTGGGCAGTGTAGGAGCACCAGGATTCGTGACAAAGGGGCTCCTCAAGCCCCTAAACCCACCCCAGCCTCAGGCAGCCAGAAGAAGGCCCAGGATTCAACCTTGGCTAGTGGCTCTAAGCGACAAAACACTAAGAAGACCTCTGCAGCTGCTAAGACTGGGACTGGGACTGTGGCTGAAGGTGATAATGATAATGACCCAGCACCAGGCCCCTCCATTGCCCCTCCAGGTCGAACTTGCAAACGGGCTGCAAGCCCAGAACCAAAAGTCCCTACTGCACCTTCCTCTACAGTCCAGGCAGCTAAAGCAGGAAGAAAGAGGGCAAAACAAGATGTGAGCCAATTTTTCTTTGCAAAAATAACTTTAAAAAATCAATTCCCAACCCTTTCGGATAGGATTCCAAAGGGAAGGGTGCTACTCAGCAAACACACTTTGCTGAGGGAGTCACTGCAATTTCTGACTCCATGTCTGAATCAGCAAAGTCCAAATCAACTCTTCAAATTTTGGTAAGTTTTAACTTAATACATACCTGAGAGTAAACCCTTATTATTACAGGATACTGCTCCAAGTGCAGTGGACACTGAAAGCAGAGATGATGCAACTGGTGACTTTGAAGAGTTCGATATTCCCAGCAGTGATGAGGATGTTGATGAAGACAGAAACAAACAGGACAAAGATAACAAAGAACAAGATACTATTCAGCTCTTGAGTGGTATGTTAAATGTTAATAAATGCTCCCATTATCCAGGAATTAACTCTCCCATTATTAGGATTGAAAGTTACAATCCAATTCATTGGTCCTGGGTCATCTCCACGGAACAATGTAATTTCCCCCTATAGCCATGCCGCTTGGCCATCCACTCAGGTTGAAGTGGATGGATGGAGTGTCTTGATGCAGGATATTCTTTCCACTGCCCAGGAGTATCTAGGTACTGATCGGATTACAAGTGAGTTTCTATCTCTAGCTGTCATAAACCCAAAGTTTCATTTTTTTCCCAATGATTTACTCAGATGAATCTCGTATCTCATACTTGGATGGTGAAGACACTATTCAACTTGGAAAAGTTGAGAGTGACTCTTGCAGGACATATCGTATCCATATTCTTCGTGAACATCGAAGGATTATTTACATTTATAACTCAACATCCACTCTTACCCAAACTACTCAGCTTGGCCCCTCTATTCCTCACCCCAATCCAATGAATCCCACTATCCCATATACACCACCTACTGAACCAGCCCCTTCTGCCACAATTGGAAAGGCTTCCCTTGGGGAACTCAGTAACCTCTGGACGGTGCGGCAAACTACGGAGAAGCAGGCCCAATTCAATGCTTTGAAGGACTCTCACCATACAACAGCTCACAGCATTTATGAGATGCTAGCAATTGTGAAGGAGTTCACTCAATCTGTTCCAATTATCCCTGCTTCCTTTCCTGGACATGGAAAGGCTGTCCCTCTCCAAGAGCTCTATATTGCTGTGACTTCCTGTAGTGACAGTACTGTTGCTTGCCATCTTATCATCTACAGTACCTACATGGAGTTCCAGAACAACCCTCGGGCACGTCGTCTTGAATCAGTATGGGACAATGAACCAGTCAAGGACCTCAAGTATGCATATGATGATCCAAACTCTGAGACAAAGGTTCATAGCCTCCAAGAAATCATCACATATCTCAAGTATCTCAAGGCAAATGGGGTGGAGCCAAACCAGAATAAGTAATTCTCAGTTTGTCATTTCTCAATCAAATTTTTGAGCAGAATGATTGTAACATTAGGAAATCCAATGTGTACCTACCTTTCAAATTGAGGAATGTTTTCAATGTCTTTGTACTCCTGTGTTTCCTGCCTATGGTGTATGCTTCAACTGCAATGGGCCTCGCAGAGACATTCACCTCAGCAACTCCAAGGATCATGGGCTATGCTATGGCTGTTATTCTTATTTTCATCCTGTGCAATGGGGAATATCTCCATCACCATTATCTCCAATCCCAAGCAACCCTTAATCCCAACTTTCCATCTTCATGGATACGTCGTCTCAGTGCCCACCTATTCTCCCAGGACTCACTTGCCCTTCCTCAACTGGACCAAAAGACCCAGAACTATCTTATCCTTGAAGCTGCAAATGGACTTGGGCTTTCACATGAATTCCTTTCAGACCACACCTCATTCATCCACAACCAACCCTGTTAGGACCCAGTTATTTTGACTGCCAAGTGTGTGGTGGATGGTTGAAGCAAACTAGACAATGTGTGGATATATGGATTTTGGAGGATAATGGTGTCTACATTGGCCAGCTTGCACAGGGAAACTGCCAGTCCTGCAATACATCTCACTTTCCAGATCGCTATCGCACTTCCATCAATGGGAAACTTACCAATATCTTTAATCCTGATGCAGCTTATCTCCGCATTGGAGGTAATATCTGGATTAATCGGCAAGTTGCTCAAACCCAGTCCAATCTACGTTATACTGCACATATGTCATCTGAGGGCTTTGCATCATTCTATTCACAGTGATATGGGAAGGATAAGATTTCCCTCCTTCCAAAGCATGCATGGAAGTTATTTGTCTTACATGAGTCCCTCAAGTTGTGCAAAGCTACCAATCATGAGCTTGTTCTTCCATCACACACAAGCATCACAGCTTTGGCTTCAAAGATGCAAGAAAAAATTTTCCCTGGAGCTGTCAAGACAATCCAAGGTGCACTTGCTCATCGGTGTGCTCAGTGCTTCCACCCATACCGATCCCTGCAAGATGGAACTGCAGTATGTGATCTACTTACTATTTTTACTTTCCCTTGCTAACTCCTTCCAACCAGCAAGTGACAATTAATGATGATCAGGAGGTTGATATGATTGTGGTGGATGGCATTTCCATGGGACATCGCCTTGGTGCAATGCCTAAATGCCCTAACCTTCCACTTAATTTTCACTCAAAGAAACTCTGTGCAGAACATGAAAGGAGTAGGGGCCATTTATGTGGCATAGTCTCTTGCCAGAATCCATGTGTAACAGCCCCCCTGAACTCTGGTGCTTGTAGTCTCCCTGACCATCAACAATGCTGGGAGGCAATCTCTAGAACACATGATAAGGAGTCATATGGAGCATATTGCAGGGTCATACGGAACCAACAAGGACAAGGCCTTCTTGGAGTTTCATCCCCAACAGAGGAATGGGTTATGAATGCTCATTGCATTGCTCAGCAAGCCCTACCTGCTCCGGAGGATCCTGAGCAAGTCATTCCACATCATCATCGTGATGGTGAGGCACCATCTCCAAGTGCATCATCCTGATCCACTCCACGTGGGCAGCACACATGGCAATATAGACATGTATATTGCCTTGAAACTCTCACCCGTCCATGTGGTTGTATTGTGGCTTGGACTAAATATATGGTGTCTGAAAGCCCAACCAATATTCTTCATACACTTGAAGAAGTCTTTCCAGACCCAGACTCCCAGCCATCATACATTGTGATTGATAAGGCATGTAGAATCCTGGCTACACTGATGAGCCAAGGACAGCATCACAGATGGTTTCAAACATCCTGTTTTCTGGTTGATGCTTTCCATTTCAGGAACCACCACAATGACCCTACATGCCAGAAATATTGCAATCCAACCCCTCAAGTCAAAGATGACCCAAATTTGGTTCTTCCTATTCAAGATGGAAATAGTCAACAAACTCGGTTTCAGCGTGCTTTCAATACAGAGGCTGCAGAGCAGTTGAATGCTTGGTTTGGAGGCTATGCTTCACAGCTAAGTCATATGCATCCAGCCAATCATGATTTTCTTGTGCATGTGATGCTTTCATATCACTTTGAAGTTAAGGGTAACATGTAATTACACCATTATGCCCACACCTGTCATTGCCATACCTACCAAGAATCCAAATTTATGATCAATCATAATGATTCATGGGAAGACTCATAGTGATTCATGAAGGTCCATGAAGGTCTGTGAAGGTCCATGAAGGTCCATGAGGCTCCATGATCCTTTATGAAGCCCCATGAAGGCTCATGACACTTCATGACACTTCATATACAGGCATGTAACCACTCAAAGCCTGCTTCATAATCACTCATATAGTGGCTCATGGTGGTTCATGAAGGACATGATATCCCATGAAGGCTCATGACACCTCATGAGGTTGCATGTAACTACTCAAAACCTGCCTGGAAGAACCACTTAAGTCATGGGCAATCATGACCCCCCATGCAGGTTCATGACATCTCATGAAATTCCATGACAGTTTGTCATGAACCAGCATGACTGTGTATGACACTTCATGCTGCTTCATGAAGTTTGGTGACCATTCATGAAATGTCATGACTTCCATGACGGTTCATGAACCACCATTACACTTTTTGCAAGTTACTGCAGATTAGCGGGATTGCGGAGATGCGGGGGTGGTAGGTTCCTATCGACCTAACGGGTTTCACAAGCATCTACAGATGTGTCCTAGGGTACAGGATAACGGCAGAGGGCAGGCGTATGGGTACTGTCTCGCCGAGACTTTCGCCACACTCCTAACCACTCTAGCCTAACAGAAGGCAGCGTCTAGCCGAATGCGGGGGTGATGGCGAACTCAACCATCAGCGGACTGAGGAGAGTTAGGTGCCAGCAGGGAAAACCCATAAGGAAATCCAACCATGATGTGACCAGCGGCACACTAAGCGTCTCCAGCGATCAACAGTCAGAAATCCAGGTGAATACCCAGCAGCTTGGAATGCAGGATTGATAACCAAAGTTAATGGTATTGCGGGTGAATGAGCGGGGATGCCTGGATGACTGAAATGTCATGTGGCATGGGAAAGTGGGGAACAGGATGGCAAAGGAGACAATGGCAGCGCAAGCCAGACTACAAGTAGCCTGACCAGCTGAACACTCCCCCCTGGAGATGTGCTCATTCTGCATTGGCAAACCCCACCTGGGAGCAAGCCAATTGGCATCGTCTGGGTCGGAATGGATGATGACATGAGTGGGATCACCAGAGGATGCAGGTGGCTCCAAAGGCGGAGTTACGTATCCAAAGGATGTTGGGTGACTCCAATAAATGAAATGGGAGGGGGAGTGGTTAAAGGTAAGTCATGGGATGTCGGAGATCTGTCAGGAGGTCAGGGAAATTCCGGAGTCTCTGAATGCTCCGACTCAGGACTGAGCTTCCGGGATGGGAGTGGCCAAGGTAAGGTGTAACTCCTTATATACATGAAAGCAGGCTAAGACATGTGAGATGAGACAGGAGAAACAGACCAAACATCTGAGCTGTACAGGTAGTTGCAAGGCTACATGAATTGAGATGAAACTGAAATGAACAAGACATGTGAGACATGTGAGACATCTGTCAAATCCATCTGGGGTTATGGCTTAACCATAACATTGGGTGGCTGCTACATTGACAGGTGTGGGAATCTCGATTGTAGGGCTGGAAATGCATCGAAAAAATCGGGAAAAATAGGGAAAGAGTGGAAAGGGTATTTGGAACTGTGTGTGAGGTGCCTTGGGTACAGGGTGTTTGTCAGGGTATCAAAATTGCGATTTCTGGGCTTGTTTGTATGGTAGTGGAGATTCCTGCCTACAGCACTCCCCTTGAGTTGCTGAGGCTGTGATCCCATTCTGCTAACCCTGACAGCGCTTCTGGATGCACCACTAATTTCTGCCCACACATCCATGCATGCACACTCTAACAGCATTCTGACAGTACCTCTGGCCCCATCTCTGACAAGGGCCTACCAAATGCAAAAGAAACTGTAAGGGATTAACCATATTATTTATGCCACATCACTATAATTCCCATTATAGTGATGTTGTTATTCTTTTATTTGTTTGTGCCAAGATATGAATTACATTATATATGTATGCCTCAGAATAGTTGTAAAGGCAAATTAGCCTTTCACCTCTACCCCATTGAGTATGCAGCCCATCAAAGCTTAGATTCAGATGGACTAACTGAGGCCAGAGGCGAACGGGGGAATGGAACGTTACTGTCCCCACCCAGCAAGCAACACTTCACTTAGTGTTATAAGACGAAAGGATGGACTGTGTCATATCCATACAATCCCGACCTCCACTCCGGGCTCCTGGAACTCTGAACTCCGACTTCCAGAGCCCTACTTCCCTTCCGTCACCTTCTCCTTGCCGACTCCCAAGAGGTTATCCCACCTCCGGCTCGGACACCACCTTCGGTCCGACTCTGGAACATTCCGGGTCCGACCCCAACCTCGACACCTTCCAGACGAGTACACAAAACCTATGCTCCCGACTCCGGACCTCTGCTCCGGTATCCCGTTCACGTCTCGTCTCCGGAACCTCCGGTCTTAGCTCCGACCTCGGACTTTGACCCCACCTCCGCTTATACCCATTGTATTGGTTAGCTCATTCCATTTAATTACCTTTGCCAATATTCCGGAGTTTAACCTCCGAGTTCGGACTTTCCGGACTTACTCCGGACCTTGCAACTATTGCATTGTCCATTTCAATTCCGCTATTCTCCCTCATTCCTATTTGGGCTGCTGCTTCCTTTCTATTCAGTCAGCTAGCCATTCCTGACTCCCCTCCTCCTTCCTTCCTCCTTGGGCCTTGGCCCTTCATTCCTCCTTTGGGAAACACCATTGAGTCAAACACTTGACCCTCGGTGTTGTTCCTCTTTCCATCTCCCTTTGTCTCCTTTCGCCTTACCCTTGTTCCTTTTGATTCCGGACCCCTCCTTATATACAATGTACCTAGTAACTTGTAACCTCAGTCCGAAATTGACATGAATTCCCCCAAGAGACTTTCCCTCTGCTAGATCCGAAATTAGGGACCCCTAGGACAACCAGCAATGGCACAGTGCTCCACCTGAGTTGCTGAGGCCGAGGTCCTTCCATGCTAAGTCTCCGATTCCACTCCGGAGTCGTCCGAATCCCCACGTTCTAACAGACTGGCAATGTTGTCGCTCAGTCCGCTATGCGTGAACTAGAAATATATTAGAAGTAATCACCTAGCGATGTTGTCACTGGTGTACAAATATTAGATACATGTTGTTAAACACATAAGTGAAGGAGAAAACTTAGACTCACCTCAGTCCGCTATGCATGAACTGAGAAGAAGTCATAAGGTCCAAAAATTGGTGTTTTATAGTCAGGCGCTATCAATGTGCACTGACTTTAGTAACAACTGATCCAAAAAAGGGAAACAAAGTAAATCTTAGTGCCACAAGACTCAACATCAACAATGTGAGTTGGCCTCAGTGTACACTTGTATCCCAAGAAATTTAACAAGTGTAAGGTCAGTTGGGGTTCCAACCTGGGTGACTCCTCAGTCCTCTGGCTGTCGAGATCTAGGCTGTATTGAGCTAGTATTTGACAAGTGGGTGAGGGTAAAGAGTAAAGAACCCTTTACCTGAGCCCGAGCTATACATATGTAAATACAGTTGAATACCAAATCCATCCCCTCACAACCTTCAGTGGTAAGACTCCAAGGACAGTAACAGTCCAAGAGACCCCTGCTACACCCTGCCCTGTTGCTGAAGCTTGTTGCTTCACAACACCCTTCATTAGTCTGCAGTTATTCTGGCCTAGATGACCAAAGACTGCCAAAGACCCCTATGCTGTGCATCCTTGGCCTGAGCAACCAGGACTGCACTTCTGAAAATCAAACCGGGCATCACTTTGGTGGCAAAACAAATAGTCTGCTCCATTTCTGTTTCCTTTCTTGGTTTGATTATGGCCAATTTTCCATTCAAGGGGGTATGCCCCCGGCTTTGACCTGTTTTCCATTCTGGGACTCCTGTCTCCCATTATGACCTTTTGAAATCTCTGATGGTCTATTTCCACTTCTGAATCTGTTGCTCATTAACTCTGTTTTCTCTGATATTTGACTGTTTCTCTGTTACTTGTTTCCTTTTTCAGGAACACTGTCCATCCCATCTGGTTCTCACCCCGGACCTTTCAGTCATCCGTCCCCTCGCTGATTCTAAGGGATTAACCTTACTTCACTATAATTCCCATTATAGTGATGCTGTTCTTTATTTATTTATTTGTGCCGAGATATGTAAATTACATATATATACCTTGGAGTACTGTAGTTGTAAAGGCCCAGTAGCCTTTTACCTCTACCCTGTTGAATATACAGCACATTTAAGCTTATATTTAGATGGACTAACTGAGGCCTGAGGCAAACGGGGGAACAGAACGTTACCGTCCCCAAAATAGTAAGATAACTTTTCACTGATGCAGATTTCTGACCCCCTGATGATCTGGCTTGTTGCCGATTATCACCTTGACTGTTGTTTAGGCACTGCCAGTGAACCGGTACCAGGCCAGCAACAGGTACAACTCCGCTTCACATCGGTGTGAATCACCCCGGACATTTCAATGTCACCTTACTAGATGGCCTGTACCCTACCAATTTCAGGACACCAACTACACTCACCCACTTCGCTCCATTGAGTGGCCAGGATTTGAGCAAGTAAATTCATCTGAACACTGAGTACCCCAGTCTTGCAACCTGTGCACCCTCTGGTCACCTTTGGGCTTTGCTCCCATTGGTTGACACTTCCAACCTTGATTCTGTTGGAAGTTTGAGACCTAAAAGTCTGGACATTGTAACAGGTCTATCACCACTGGACTCAAGACAGAAGAGAGGGGGAGGGTTGGAGTGGTTGCATGCACAGGTTCGTTGACTGGGAGTGGATTTTGCTACTCCTCACTGTCTAGCTAACTATACAGCTGGTCACAGTATCACGGAAGAGTCCGATAATGACAAATAAGGAAAGAACAATAAGAAGGGGAAACATCAGGCTCTAGTGACTGGAAATGGAATCAGAAAAATCAGGAAAAATAAGAAATATGTAGGAGGGAACA